AAATGAAATATTGTTTTCTTTAAATATTCATGAAATATTATTTTACTATGATTCTTTCATCGCAGAATCAATTCTCACATTGATGATTGAATTTTTTAAAATATTATAGTCACTCTTATAGCCAATTTTTAGTATCAGTATAACGATTATCGTTTACTTTAATGGGTGACATGCTTTTTCGTCGATTTTTTCTTAAGAAAAAAGTATCATATTATATTAAAATTTTCTCAAAAAACTATAAAACCTAAGAAAAGTAATACTAGAAAGGATTTATGCAGCAACGTTAGCGATAGATAGACCTGTTCATTATGCACTAAAGAATATTTAAGAAAAAATACATATATAAAAAACTTTTTTTCCAGATTACACAATGTCTCTATATCCAACGTTATTCTTTTAACGCTAGTAACTTAATTTCTCTTAAAATAGTACGTTTCTTGAAATTTTTTTTATTTTGTAAGTTACACATATTTATCTGTTATGAAATAATATTTAAAAGTACATCTCTTATATTTATAGGATATCAACTTTATTTTTTTTAATGGTAGCATACATATAAAACTAGCTTATAAAATAGAGAATGATTTAATTAAGAAAACGACAATTGATAGCGACTTTCAGAGCAGTACTTCGGAAGATATTCACATTTTTGTACTTAGATGGGAGTGGTGCGGTCAAGAACTCACACCTCTAGAATAAGACTGTCACAACTTAAAATTTATAGTTTTGAGAAAAGACGATTTAAAGTTTGTAACTAAAATAATTTACCGAGTTTTTTTAACCTTGAGTTTGAAACTTACAAACATTAATACTCACAAACATACTATACCATATGACTTTTTCGAACATTATGAAGTATTCAGTTAAACCCTAAAAGTTAGTCTTATGGCCTTTTACAATTTTATAATTGCATGAAGACTGCAATATATTAAGATATGGATTTATTGTATACATAAATTGATTTTAAGATAGCCATATACTAAAATATGACAGTGTTGAATTTTGACTTCAGTAATTAAATGGATAAATTTAAAAATGTATTTAGCCATAAAGTAAATATGACTCTGTTACTTTGAAAACTAGCTAAAAATTTAATAATTCTATACTGACACGTCTTCTTAGTGACGTATAAATAAAAAATATTGAATGTTGCGTTCTTCTATTGTATAGAGATGATTTTTTATTACCCATCATAATTCAAAATTGATAAATTTTGAGTTATGGAAATCTCGTTCTAGAGGTCCAAAATGACTAATGATAAACATTGCAGCATGCGAGTTTCACCTGCAGTCTATATTTTAAAATGTTAATAACTTCTAAAGTGTTGGCCCTAAAGTTGTCATTAATTTTCTTAAGTAGATCATTTTTTATATTATAAGGTAGTTTAATATATATGCTGTCATTTAAAAAAATATGTTGTAACCTCTATAAGATTTAAGGAATGGACCTAACAATTATTTTATAGCAAATAAATGGAAATACATATAGGACAAACATAATTAAAAGAAAAATGTTTAAATTACCTTATTATTTTAAGAGAAGTTGAAAAGCTATCATTGAAAGACTTAAACTTCTTAATATATATGTACATTGTGTAACTTGAATTGATGATCAATATTATTTTTAAAAAATAACTTTGGGAAGTTTTTTTTTAAAAAATCCGTTATTTAAAAAAAAAACATTACTATTTCTTATATCGATAATCACTACCATTTTAAAGAAAAACAATAAACTGTACACACATTTATATTATAAGCCTGTAGCACTTATCAATTTAAGACCCGAAAAAGATCTCGTTTTTTAAAACTAAGTATTCTTTTTTTTCTGGTCGAACTTAAAATTTAAATGGTTGCACTCGTTAAAAATCGAGTTATATTTAAAAAAAAAATAAACATTATTTTTTCAATTGAATAAATCTGATATAAAAAGAATTAATGTTGCTATTTGAAATCAAAAATTAATAAAATTTTAGAGTAAAAGGAATGATAGCAGAAAGTTAATTTCGTATAAAGCAGCTCGGTCTTCGTTAGAAGAAAATAAAATAATGATTTTTAACAATAATGATTGACACTAATAATTTCAAAGATATTTCGTGAGTCGTAGTTGAGGAATCATTCTAATTATTATAAAATTTATAATGTAACACTTTAAAAAAAAATTATTTGGGAAAATACCGCACATTTATTAGAAGTAATCATGCATACTTATCAATCTTGATTTATATCAAATAAATCACAGTTTCATATTTTATAAAAAAAATTTGGAAATTCTTTAAAAACTATAGTATATGTAAAAATTTTAAGAATAATTTGTAATTGTTCTATATTCCGGATTAAACGCTCCAAGTATTTTTTAAGACTCTAAAGATGGACTGATCAAGAGGATACTATGTATTTTATTCTTTAAAAGTTCCTACAATGCTCTATCTCATCAAATAAATCTATTTGAAACAGTTTGTAATTTTTCTAAATTTAAAAGCCCAGTGGAGACAATTGTGACGCGGCATAGTTGAGACAAGTATAAATGATACCTGACTTGAAAAATGATCAATTATAATAATTTTTAAGTTCGTCCTTTATACTTTATAAGACTGTCAGCATTATTTTTTTAATGGCAACATACATATTTAACTAGCTTATATAATAAAAAAATGATTTAATTAAAATAATGACTGGTCGTTAATTACTTTTGATACATTATTTCGGAAGTTATAACTATTTTAAATAAAAGAGTAATAGTAAATTGTGGGTTATATTATTTTTATCACTAATTTGTCGCGGTCTTTCTCCACTCTGTATTGAAATAATACCTTTTTATATAATAATAAAAAATTTATCATTCATTATTTTATAGGCTAGTTAATATATATGTGACCATTAAACAATTCAGCACACTGCGCCCCTCCTGTGGTTGGTTTCAAGGAGATAGGAGTTATTGTTGCTTTTGGAATAATTCAATAATTCCTTCTAAAAACTAAACACTACAGATGTACATCGAAGCGTTTCTTATGATAGTGATTTTATCACTGTCAGATATCATATATACTTGTCCTAACTATGCTACGTCTCCACTGTGCTGAGTTGGGATTTCTTAACCTATAATTGTATTGAATATGATTAAAAAAATAATTTGAAACTAAAATTAATTGTTGGCTTGAATTTATTATACTCAATAACAATTCATAATGAAAATATTAAGTTGTTGATGGTGTTTTGTAGAAACTATTAAATTAGATTATATTATTAAATTGTAGAATTCAACGTATCTTGTATATTATTATATAACTCATCCTGATTATTATTTATCGAATTTATTTATACAGATAATTATTTTTCAATAAAATTTGATTATTCAACTTTATCTTTACAAGCGCTTTATTATTAAAAATTAGTTTATTAAATGAATGATATTCGAAGGGAAAAAAATTGTTCATCCTCTTCTACCTATACATTTAGCTATTATAGTAATTATTATGTTGGGCATAGTTGTGGATGCGATTTCGTTTAGTTTGCAGGACTGGCGCGGCGTTCGGTATCTTAATCATTTCAATGACTATTTGAGTTTACATTCGGTTTATTATTTTATACTTGTCTATGA